AAAGGGGGGGGCCTTGATTTCCTGTGAAGGTTTTTTTAATCCAAGGGATTTTAAAATTTTTTTTTTTTTTTTTTTTTTTTATTTTTTATTATACAATGGCGATTCCCCCCCAAAAGGAAAAGGGGGGGCCCGGAAAAAGAAAAACTTTCACCATCATTCACTCCATCACTGTCTTGCCCGAAGGGTGCTTTACACTACAGTTTTTAAACTGCAACATTAACACCCTCCTTCAGAGTGCAGGCACTGTACTTCCCATCTCCAGGACTCAAGTCCGGCCTGCCGGTTTCCCTGAATCCCTTCATAAATGTTACTTTGCTCACACTCCAACAGCATGTCAAGTATTAAAAACCATTTGTCTCCATTCACTCCTATCAAACACGCTCACGCATGCTGCTGGAAGTCCAAGCCCCTCGCACACAAAACCTCCTTTACCCCCTCCCTCCAACCCTTCCTAGGCCGACCCCTACCCCGCCTTCCTTCCACTACAGACTGATACACTCTTGAAGTCATTCTGTTTCGCTCCATTCTCTCTACATGTCCGAACCACCTCAACACCCTTCCTCAGCCCTCTGGACAACAGTTTTGGTAATCCCGCACCTCCTCCTAACTTCCAAACTACGAATTCTCTGCATTATATTCACACCACACATTGCCCTCAGACATGACATCTCCACTGCCTCCAGCCTTCTCCTCGCTGCAACATTCATCACCCACGCTTAAACACCCATATAAGAGCGTTGGTAAAACTATACTCTCATACATTCCCCTCTTTGCCTCCAAGGACAAAGTTCTTTGTCTCCACAGACTCCTAAGTGCACCACTCACTCTTTTTCCCTCATCAATTCTATGATTCACCTCATCTTTCATAGACCCATCCGCTGACACGTTTCCCCTCCCAAATATCTGAATACATTCACCTCCTCCATACTCTCTCCTCCAATCTGATATCCAATCTTTCATCACCTAATCTTTTTGTTATCCTCATAACCTTACTCTTTCCTGTATTCACCTTTAATTTTCTTCTTTTGCACACCCTACCAAATTCATCCACCAATCTCTGCAGCTTCTCTTCAGAATCTCCCAAGAGCACAGTGTCATCAGCAAACAGCAGCTGTGACAACTCCCACTTTGTGTGTGATTCTTTATCTTTTAACTCCACGCTCTTGCCAAGACCCTCGCATTTACTTCTCTTACAACCCCATCTATAAATATATTAAACAACCACGGTGACATCACACATCCTTGTCTAAGGCCTACCTTTACTGGGAAAAAATTTCCCTCTTTCCTACATACTCTAACTTGAGCCTCACTATCCTCGTAAAAACTCTTCACTGCTTTCAGTAACCTACCTCCTACACCATACACTTGCAACATCTGCCACATTGCCCCCTATCCACCCTGTCATACGCCTTTTCCAAATCCATAAATGCCACAAAGACCTCCTTAGCCTTATCTAAATACTGTTCACTTATATGTTTCACTGTAAACACTTGGTCCACACACCCCCTACCTCTCCTAAAGCCTCCTTGTTCATCTGCTATCCTATTCTCCGTCTTACTCTTAATTCTTTCAATTATAACTCTACCATACACCTTACCAGGTACACTCAACAGACTTATCCCCCTATAATTTTTGCACTCTCTTTTATCCCCTTTGCCTTTATACAAAGGAACTATGCATGCTCTCTGCCAATCCCTAGGTACCTTACCCTCTTCCATACATTTATTAAATAATTGCACCAACCACTCCAAAACTATATCCCCACCTGCTTTTAACATTTCTATCTTTATCCCATCAATCCCGGCTGCCTTACCCCCTTTCATTTTACCTACTGCCTCACGAACTTCCCCCACACTCACAACTGGCTCTTCCTCACTCCTACAAGATGTTATTCCTCCTTGCCCTATACACGAAATCACAGCTTCCCTATCTTCATCAACATTTAACAATTCCTCAAAATATTCCCTCCATCTTCCCAATACCTCTAACTCTCCATTTAATAACTCTCCTCTCCTATTTTTAACTGACAAATCCATTTGTTCTCTAGGCTTTCTTAACTTGTTAATCTCACTCCAAAACTTTTTCTTATTTTCAACAAAATTTGTTGATAACATCTCATTTGCTCTCTTTTTACATTGCTTCACCACTCTCTTAACTTCTCTCTTTTTCTCCATATACTCTTCCCTCCTTGCATCACTTCTACTTTGTAAAAACTTCTCATATGCTAACTTTTTCTCCCTTACTACTCTCTTTACATCATCATTCCACCAATCGCTCCTCTTCCCTCCCGCACCCATTTTCCTGTAACCACAAACTTCTGCTGAACACTCTAACACTACATTTTTAAACCTACCCCATACCTCTTCGAGGATTAATTATCCTCCTTTTTCCATGGCTTGTCCTTCATTCCCCAGGTGCTGTATGACTCCTGCAGGTTTATTGCTATCCTCATGCATTTAATAATAGTCAGGAGAGAATATTTGTCTATGACAAGTAAGAGGAACTTGAAGATATGTGGAAAAAAAGGCAATGATCTAGAAAATAAACAGCCTTTTTTTTCCAACAGGTTATTTATTTCACTACACTTGTATTTTATAACCCCAAAATAGTCAGTCAGTCAGTGAAAACTCGCAGTAAAAGTCTTGTAGCCATACTCTTTGTACTTTTGTTACATTGACACCATTATTTTTTAAAACATTTTATTGTCATGTGTTACTGCTTTAATTTGTAACCTGAAATATAAAAATTATAATTGGTTACAGGAGGGCCCCACTTGTGTGTGTGTGTGTATATATATATATATATATATATATATTTTTTTTTTTTTCTAAAATATTACTTACCTTAAAATATTTTTGTCCTAAGCTTATAGTGAGTGGTGAATATATTTATTGTAGGAAGTTGGTATAATTGAAAACTGTTGCATTAGTGAAGTGCTGCGAAGTGGGGCCCTCCTGTATATTTTTGTTCATGTATATTTCCTCAAATGCACTAATATTTCCCTTCACCTCATTGTGGCATGAATCGAATTTCTCTACTTCAATTATTTTTTAAGGACTGTTGTAATGTCAGTGCTCTGGTTAGCATAAAAGGCTACTTAATGTTAAGTAGATTGTTTCAGTGGCTACCAATTCTCTGCTGTTTTAATTTTACATGTACTTGTTTCTAAAGTTGCATAATTTAAATTTTGCTAAATTTTTGGTCACATTGTGCTAATTATATTCATAGACAAATTTTCCATCCTGACATTACAAAAGTTAAAATAAATTATTCAGGTAATTGATGAATATAATAGTCCATGATCCAGGCAGGCTGGTTGGTACCATCTGGGATGATGATGCTTACTCAGTTAAAAAATTAACCCTTTGAGGGTCGACAGGCCCTCTCTGAGACTTGTTCTCAGGGTCGGCCAAATATAAAAAAAAAAAAAAAAAAATTTCTTATGAAAAGATAGAGAATCTTTTCCCGATCATAATGACACCAAAAGTATGAAATTTGATAGAAAGCTTACGGAATTATGTTCTCGCGAAGTTAGCGGTCTCGGCGATGTTTACGCATTGGCGATTTTGCCCACATTCAGCCCCATTTTTGGCCAATTCCACTCTACTAGTCGACAAAAAACATGAATATTTCGCTAGAACTCCATTTTGTCTATCGAATGAGTGCAAGAAACCACCCATTTACCAATTTCAACTATCCAGTACAGTGGTCAGAATTTAGCAATTTTGCCAGTTTCACACAAATTTCAAAAGATGCCAATTTCCGAATAGGGTCCAGAATAAACAGACATTCCTGGCAATAAAATGACATTTCCTCTGTTCATTAGTCACGTCTCAAGGCCCCTCTTGCATTCTTTTGCTTTCCACTTTGAATTTTTATTCTCACAAAAAAATAGAAGATTTACTGTTATGCAGACTACTGCATTAGTGTAAAAAATGGTATAAATAATATTGGCGCACTTGCAAAAGAATATTAGACTCGCCATTTGACGTGTATTGGACGTTTGGCATGATTTGTTTACTTTTGAACTTTGGTAAAAATCGAACATTTCTGCTACTTTGAGCTCAATTTCAAGGTACTTTTCCTTGTAAAACCAGTCAAAATCATGTCAATTTCTGTAATATGTCTCTCATTCTATAAAATGAGACCCAGAAAACTAGAATACAACAATAAATACCATACGAAAATACAGTGCAAAGTCGCTGTTTTATTCCAAAAAAAACGGTCAAACTTTTTTTTTTCTTATTATGCACTGTGTGCTGCAGGATTTTTTTTATACTGTGCACACTGACCACATAGACCTATTCTTTCATATGTAGGCCTACCAGCTTTCTCCCACTAGATTTGAGGGCGCTAGAATTTAGGCGTGCTAGTACATAAACCCTGGGTCGTAAGCCGTACTAGTACGGCCGAAACCCTCAAAGGGTTGAACAACTCTTGTTGAGCGCTAAACCTGTGTGGGTTATTTTGTGCAAGATATAGTGGAGGCCTGATCCTCTGTCTGCTGAGTGAGACATGTGCTTCCTATTTGTACTTCTTGATGAAACTTTCCTTAAAAATGTAAAAAGTTAACTGAAGTATATTTTGATACCATAGAAGTATGTAGGTGCAGGAAAATATTTGTGCACTGAAACACCGAGATTATAAAGAAGATAAAGAGCTACACAATGCATTGTACATTTTCTGTAACTAAAGACAAAAATTACAGAATACAAAATCACTGAGCATTCGTCACCCCCATATAGTACTGATAATGAAAATTATCTGGCTCAAGGACTATGTAAGATTGGATGGGTAGCAGTTACTTCCAAAATACTTCTGGATGGGTAACAGTTTCTTCCAAAATACTTTTCTGCAGTTTAATCCTGGGCTTATGGTAAATACAGTATCTAACTACATATTTTGTTTTTACTAATTATAACATTGATTTACTAAATAACCATATTTAATTAAGTGCACAATTCTTATTGTGTTCAAGTGTTTGCTTCTGCACCCCTCAGTTCCTTGGTGTGTGGCTCACGGTGCGGTACAGGAACCAGCGGGATCCACGTGCTAACCCATCAGCCTTCCTGTAGAGTGGTCGGGTGCCTTAAGCCCTTACCCTCTCTCACTAACATATCAGGTAGCACGGGGGTGTAGTGTGCTTGGTGGTTGGTACTGGCTTGGCTTTCTCTTATTTTTCAAACTTTTAATGGGTGCTTGTATGGCAGAAAAAGTTTGTAGTAGCATGGATTTCTTAAATGTTGAATTTTAATTTTGTATTTAAACTGATAAGAAATTGGGATCATTATTGATCTGTGTACTGTATTTACTTTAGGTTGGCTAAAGATTTGTGTGTATTTCAGATGTTAATAAAAGTACAGCTTTATGCATATGCTTAATATATAGTGTTGCATATGGTATTACAGTAATTTAGTTTTAACTGCTAGTAATAACTATTCCTCTTCCATAATTGAATTGATTCTTGTTGCATAGTCCATGTAAGACAGTCTGACTGATTAAAATTGTGGACAAATATGAAAGATTTCTAAATTTTGTTTTAAGGTTAATATTTTTGGAGCTCTTCATAAGACTGGTATTAGTGCCCCAAATCAAGTTAAATTTGAATGTCATATTTTTAGCATTTTAATCTAAATTAGAGAGGATGATCTTGATTATAAGTGACAGGTGGTCCTAGTTTTGTGACTGGTGGATTCCAGAAATTGCATATAAAGCAGACTTGAAAAAGGAGAATCTTGTAACACTGAAAACACAAGGACATATTCCAAGTCTCTCTTTTGTTTGTCTCCTTTTTCTTAATTTTTTCTTTGTTTTTACACAATGGCTTTACAGGATTAGGTTAAGAATTTGTACCTTTATTTACAAGCAAAGATCTGTTACCTACTTCAACTCGTTAAAAAGCATTTTTGTTATGAGACGTACAAATAGGGAATAGAATGAAGTTGGAGAGATCTGTGGGCCAACGATTCATTGCTGTACGAACATGTTCCATGCTAGTCATTCAAGGAATGAATGATCTCAGATAAAGTGATCTTGAGGAGGATGCATCCAGAATGTAGTTGCTGTTTGCTGCTGTCTTGTCTTCTTACTGTCTGCGAAGTGTAGCCAAGTGCGGTACCATAACAACATTGGCTTTGTATGTAACAGCTAGGCCACACACAACCCTTTGGTGTTGAAGGCTCTGCTGAATTGACAGATGTGTCTAGGCTTGGTTCAGATGAAAGAGGTATTCTTGCTCTGTTCTCTATTCTATCAAGAAGTCATAGATGAGACAAGACAGGTAGTTCAAGCAAGTGGAGCATATTCAAGGTGTAAGTGCACTTATGCATTGTAGTGTTTTGCATCCTCTTTAGGTCTTTGTTTTATTGGTTTGTCTTTAATTCTTCCTGCAGTGCTAAAGCTCTTTAGATTTAGAAGGAAGCGTCTTTATGCTATTACAATTGGAATGGTGCAGTGGTTAGTCGTAGATACGGTTTCTCTCCCTTTGCAACAAAGATTTTTTTTTTCAGGTCCTTTACCATTCCAGTACTCTGGCAATAAACTTACAGGCTTCTCTAGACATTGTACTGTTCTGGACCTTACTACTCTCTGTAGATAATTGCCATTTTTAAGTCTTTTCCACTTACTTGGTAATTTTGGATAACTGACAGTAATGCAGGTGACAGTAGTGGCCAATAGGCTTTTTTAATTAATCTAGCCATCATTTTGTTTGTTGGTAATCAGATTTGCATGTGGACATACCTTAGAGAAGCACTTTGTGCCTTTGAAATTGTCATGTCATAATGAGTCAAAGAACTTAAGATGAAATAGTCCCACTTCACTTTTTGAAGTCTCTTTTAATGCAGATTTACTTGGACTTCATAACCAAAACTGATTTACCCCACTTAAACTTTTTCATTTCACTTTTGTTTGCTCTCCATGCTTCTGCTCTTAATATCAGCTACCTTTTGTAATGTAGCACTGAATGACATGTATGGGTTCAGCACTTTTTTGTGAATATGACTTGCATGGACATACAATGCTGATGTTGCTTGAAGTTCAAAATTGGAGTAGGCACAATAGAGATAATCACTCTGAGCATCTGTGGTATGATAGAATAAGGAATAACTTGTCTTGAAAATCAGTGGAAAATTATTTTAACATGTGATAAATATGAAAATGAGAAATGCTTATTAAAGTGAATTTTGGTATAGGAGAGGACTGTAGATGAACAAATGTGGCAAGGAAGAAAACAGCATGTGCACGAATGTAGATGTATACAAAGTAGCAATAAAATGGGTAAAAATTTTAATCATTAATTACTTTGGAAAGGTAATGCATGTGACAAGCCTTGCAGAGTACCATAAAGATGGTGATAGTGTGCGAATTGACAGATTCTCTTGTGGGCAGTTTGCTGGAGTGTGGTGATTGTATAGAATATTAGGAAGAGTGTTATATTAATTTAAACATCTTTGATACTGTCTAACACTTCTTAAAATTCTTTTCTATCTCAGTGATTCTTCTCATGGAAGTATATAAACAGGTTATTGAAAATTAAAAAAAAAAAAATTGAATTCGAACTTATTTTTTTTCCAGATTCTTGGTTTCTTCATAGCTAAACGGTACAGATACCAAATAGATCCCAGAGCAAACATCCAGAGTCTGCTTCGGTAATGAAAATTATTGACAGTGAAAAATCCATCACTACTACACTGACTTGACTAAGGTATCCATTTTCTAATCATTGATCAACTTTAATGTTATTGCATATTCCTCTTAATTTCTAAGATTGCCTTTATGTAAGATGTCGTAAAAGTAAATAATGATTTCCTTAGTATGTTTTCAAGATCATCCCTTAATAGTGGCATAAGTTTTTAAATTAATTGTAGTAGAACACGTCCATGATTGAATTAAAAAAATATATTTATTATTACCTTAAGTAAATAGAAAGTGTTCTATTAATTTATTGATGCAAGTCATCATTATTTTTATGAACAAATAATATAGCTTGTTAAGGATTTCAGAGTTAATTAAATTTTTTATACACGGTAATAGCCAAAAATATTTTGAATATGATGTATAGGATTTATTAAAGTGTATAATTTCTGGTGCAGGGTAAATTTGTTTGGTAATGAACAATTAGTTCAGTTTTTCATTATGTACATTACTTTTGTGGGTAAGTGATAAAACCATTGAGGCCCTGCCTAGGTTAATGGGAGGTAATCAGGTTTAATTCAAGGAAAATGAGCATTTCCACTTTCTTTGATCAAGATCTTTTCACTGGCATGAAGGCACCCCTCTTAAAGGGATCAGTGCTGTATTTTCTGGCATATAAGATTAATTTTTTTCCTAAAAAAGTCTTGGAAAATCACCCTGTGCCTTTTATGCTCAAGGTCAGGGTCAAGGGCAGGCTTTGGGTTATGCTTTAGCATAAAGTAAGAGCATAATTAGCACTTGAATATGATTACTGATTTGTTATGATACTTCTGTTGGGAGCCCCTTCATTATTAAAGTTAAAAAGAAACTTTTGTTTTTCTTTTTGGGCCACCCTACTTCAGTGGGATATGGCTGGTGCCTTGAAAGAAAGAAGACTTCTGTCAGGTGCAGTATATGCCGGAAAATATGGCATGCACTCTTTCAATTACGAGTTCATGTTCCAATAATCAGTGAAACATTTCTAGATACATTTTTAGCTCAGGTAACTGATTAATTAATTGGTTATCTAATTTTTTTTTTTTCTTGCCTTGTAGGTCCCTCACTTATGACACTAATGCATTTGTAATCTGTTCCTGTGGACATGCTTATGAGATGTGCTCCCAAGTTATAATACTTTTTATTTGATTTCATAAATTTTAATGTAATTGAAGACCTTGTATGGTACTCGGAAGTATCTCTCTTCTCTTCCTTGACAGCATACTTTACACATGCTGTGCACCATCTCACTGATAAGGGAAAGTATTAGGTACCTTCTGGGCATGGGGTGTTGGGAATGAATGGTGAAAATATCACATGGGTAGGGTTGGGGTCAAGTACCGGTAATTAAGCCAAGGAAGATAAATGAGGAGTCGCCTGCTCTTTTGCATGTTCTTTATCCTCCTTTTCCCCCAGTGACTAGCCTAGATTCTGGGGCCTCCCTCTACCCAGGCTTTTGCAATCCACTTATCTCCCAGGGTAACCACCCAGTTTTTACCTTTTGCCCAACAGCCAGATGCTTGGACCTTTCCCTCTCCAGGCTCTTGGGCAACCCACCCACCTCCTAGACTAACTACCCCCCATGATTCTCACCCCTCAGTCAGGAGCTAGGGTTGCTTCCCAATGCTCTCTGGTAATCCATCTGCCTTCCAGGATAACCAGCCATTCATTCCCAGGATGCCAGGGCTATCCTCCACAGGCTCTCAGGCAACCCACCTCTAACCACCCCTCTGGTCCTCTTCCCTCAACCAGGAACCAGAACTCTTTATCCCAAGGTAGCATACCTGCCTCAGTGGCATACTAACCATCTCCTTGGTCCTTTACCTTTGGCTATATGTCCAGCGGTTTCCCTCCTAGACTTGCAGGCAGCTAGCCTACATCTGCCTTACCAACCACACCTTTGTCCTTTGGCCTTCAGCCAGACATAAACATAAATGAATCCTGCTGTTAACTAATCCCTACAAAACAAATGAGAGCTCTGTGCCTGCAGGCATTGAACATACACAGTGTTTAAATGCATTTGATAAAAAAATATTTAAAAATTCTTCTTGAATATTTACAGTGCTTATGGGTGCATAGTTCCAAAGTGTCAGTGTCATAAGTGCAAAACATTGTAAATTGGAGATGTACTATTTCAACTTTGAAGGTGCCATGGAAAAACTTGTGTATATTAAAAAAAAAAAAAAAATGGCTGATAAGCTAAAACCTATTTATCACAAGTTGTGTAGAATATTAAGTCTTTTGTATAACTATATACCTCTTAAATACCAGATATTTAGAAGTGTTCCTTCTTTTCTTTCACTGAGAAATGCTACCTATTGTCATTGTGTTTATGCATTATTATTTGCTTTAACCTTTAAATGGTCCAAACGTATATACACGTTTTTTCAACATCTGAAAGTATGTAAAAAAACGTAGATCCTTTTTTGTTTTACATTTGTAAACGTGTAAAAAAAAAAGTAGATCTACTTTTGTACCACTACGAATTTGAACGTCAGTCTGTTTGGACCGTTTAAGGGTTAATTAAGGGTACATGTTGATCTCTAAACTGCAATTATGGTATTTCCCTGAATGAAATACTTTTTTTTTTTCCTGTATATTCTAGCTGTAATGAATATTATTTTTCTGAATTAATCTCATTGAAATATTTACATGTAAATTCAAGTTGTCAATGGCCTATTACATGGAATAAGTACTAAAAATCTATTGGTTGCTGAAGGTACTTTTATAAATACTGTATTCTTTCATAACCTTATTATAGTTTTGAAAAGGTGCAATTTTTTTCCTCAATACAAAACTTAAGAAATATTTCACCCAGAGTAATCAAACCTTTGATTTAGTTATTTTTCATTGCAGTTAATCACTTAGTGGCCATGTATCCATGGACATGCCCAAATTATTAATTTATATTGTTTTAGTAATTTTGTATTCAAAATTTAGTTACCATTGATTAGATAAAGTATCAGCCCATGTAAACTTTTGAGTCATGATTGTGTAACTTTTGTGATCATAAGAGGTTTATATGAATTTATATAATTTGCCATGTATAGTGAAAATTTGGCAGTGCAAAATTTGTTTTGCTGTAATTAATTTAATGGGAAAGGACTTTAGTTTATAGGCAGAATTTATGGAAATATGATTATTACATTGCAGATCAAATTAGTTTATCATATGCTACTGAAATATTGGTGCCAAGAAAAAATAAAATTGTAAACTAGTATTTCATCCAGAATTTTAATGGATCAAATTGTGTGCCTAATTTAAAATGTGTTCATGCTAATGTAGCTGATTTGATATAGTCTAGTAGATAATGTTTCCACAAAACCATTAATATATTAATAACCATTTTAATTGTGGTCAATTTATGGAGTATTCAAACTTGTTCCACTCACAACCCAGCCAAGTTGAAATATTGGTTTTGTGATAGTTTCTGCTCACTTTATCAACAAGGAAATTGTTGGTGCAGTGGACTGATTATTATAATCAAAAAGAAGCGCTAAGCCACAAGGACTATACAGCACAGTGGACTGAGAAACTGGAAAAACTGTTTTGGGCTGGCTGGGACATGCAGATGTATTCAAAACCTTCATAAGCTGACAGTGAAAAGTTTGACTAGCAGATATTTAAAATTGGTTGTCAGTGTCCTTGACAGTATTATGGGGTAAGACCTTTAGACTGGACTTTCAGGGTAAATGTAAACTTGTATGTTATTTAATTCCAATGATTTTGCCAAGTTTCATTTTCATGGTAGGAGAAAATAGTACAGCAACTATTTATCCTGTGAAATACATTTTTAATTTAAGGTACAAATATTAGTATCTATTTTAATAAGGCTTCCAGTTTAAAGTTTCTTTAATTAAATTTTTCACAATTTCAAGTCTGGGTAATGATCTTTCTTTTATGTCTTAATGCAATACAGTAGATTCAGATTTCAGACAAATTTTAAGCTGATTTGGGCAGTGTAATACATATATAGTAGTTTTAACATCCAGTACTTGCTCATTTTACAGTACCACAATTACATTCCTAAGACATACCATATATCTTAAGAATTCTATTTCTGTAATAAGTCATGTAGATGATAACCTGTACTGTGTTCAGCTAGTTGACATTATTTTGTGTTCAGTAATTTAAATATCAGACATATATACTGATCTCTTTATTCAAAAAAATTTTATCTACAGATTCGTAATATGTGAAAAACCAGGATTACACATTTTACTTAGAAAAATTAGACAATCGTAATACATTTAATACTATGTGCTTAAAATGGTATGTCATACAAGTTTTCTTAAATATGCCAGTGCTTCCTTGGGTAGTTTAATAAGCTAGTGTTTTGATTATATTTTTGTGGTTGGTCATCTTGTGCTATAATTTCATTTAGTTTGTCTTGGTAACTTACAAGAACAAAAAATCCAGTACTTGCCCTTGTCTTAAGTTGGATATTGATGAAATTTCAGAGCAAGCAAGATTGGATAAAATTTTTATGCTTGTTTATGTAGAACTTGTTTATGAATCATTTTTATTGTATGGTACACTGTTTTAAGTATTTGTTATTAGTTGAAATAAATTTATTTAGGTATTTAAATGCAAAGTACTAACTGTTTGATGAAACATTGCAAATATGCCTCTAGTCATTATCCACTTTGTGTAGGAAGCATGTGAACAATTTAAGTAACAGTTAAGTGTTTTATATTTTGATCTTGTATTTACCAATTGTTTTTAATAAAAGAGTAAGTTTAATTTGATGTTTGAAAATCACCAATTTGACAATTACAATAAAAAAAGTGCTAAACCAACAAGGGCCATACAGCGCTGCAAGGCAGAAAATAATGCTGGGGCTATAAACAGCTGGGTGGAGAGGGAATCAGAGGTGAGGGAAGAAAAGGGGTGGAAGGGACGCTAAGGGCTGCGTGTCAAAGTTCGTATAGTAAAGCAGTTGCTGACAAAAAGTCAAAGGCAGAGCTGTCTGCAAGAAGGAAAGATAAGGTAAGAGTGGAAGGGTGGCATTGGAGGTAAATCTTACAAGCTCACTGGTAAACTTGGCAATCTACAAGGAAGTGAAGAACTGAAATAGGGACTCGACAAACTTCACAAAGAGGAACAGGGTGTCGGTCTGTGAGATACCCATGGGTAAGGCGAGTATGGCCAATGCGGAGACGGGAGAGCAGTCTCCCAAGTACGGCAATGGTGGTAAGATGGCCACAAACCTAAAGGTGGTTTAATAGAGTGCAATTTGTTATAGTGCATGCCCGACCACCGTTGGTGCCAACGGCCAAGATGACTGGAAAATAATCTGAACGAAACTCCTCTATATGAAACCAGAAGCTCGTGTACCACTGACCGTGCAGCAGCATCAGCTTGTTCATTGTCCTACACAGTGTGTCTAGGGACTGAACAGAAAAAAGACTTCTTTGTTTTCGCTAGCCACACCGTATTCATCTATCGTTGCACTAAGGACAAATGCACTAGGGGAATCAAATTGTTTAATGGCTTGTAAGACACCGAGGGAATCTGGAATGATCACAAACGTCAAAAGAGACACTTAATACCTAGAAGCACAATGAGGATGGCATACAACTCGGCAGTAAAAATACTAGCCGAGTCTAACGAACGTCCTCTGACATCGTCGTCAGGGAACACACTGCCACAAACCCAACACCATCAGAAGATTTAGAACCACTTATATGAACAGCAACGGCACGAGCACGTGATTGGAAGTGATCGAGAGAGCGAGACGCAGCCGTCGGTAGGAGAGCTTTGGCGCAGGGCAGTAGGGGAGAACAGACGTGAACTGTTGGAATCTCCCAAGGGGGAATGGAAAAAGGCAGACACTAAATGAACATACGAGGGAGGAAAGTTTCATCACCTTGCAGACTTCACTGGTCAGAGCAATAGGACGATAGTGAGAGGTATCAAGCCCCGGGGTGCCTAGTTTGCGAAACAGTAGTACAATGGCAGATTTCCATTGTTGAGGGAGAGCCCCTTGCGTCCAAATAAGATTGAAAAGATACAAAAGGACTGTAAAGGCTGCAGAATGATGTAGCATACTGATACGAATATCATCAGGCCCAGCTGCCGATGACCAGCAGGCGGAAAGTGTGGATTCTAGCTCTAAGAGAGTGAAAGGTACGTTATATGGCTCCATTCCATTAAAGGAGAAATCCAAGGGCAATTGCTCCTTGGTAGAATTAGATGCAAAAAATGAGGGACAAAGATGAAGCTCTTGGGAGACATGGACAAGATGGTTCCTGAGTTCAGTGGCAACTGAAGAGGTTCCACAACACCAGCAACCCACAAAACGGGAGCTGGGTCCAGAGTGTACTTGCCACATAACTTTCGTACCTTCTTCCAAACCACACACACACTGGAGGAGACGAGGTAATTGTAGACATGTAGTCTTGCCAGCAAGTGTGTTTAGCATCGCGTACGATGTGGCAAGGAACTGCCCTTGCCTGTTAAATATCCAAAAAACTGCCCTGGATCACTTGCACAGTAATGCACTCAAAAATTCAGAGATGTAACATATGGAAGTGTAAATATTGGCTGTCTGGGTCTGGACTGTCAACAAAAAGAGCATATGTGGACTAGTACAGCTGGCTGAGAAGCCAGTATATGGTACTCTGTCTCCAGATTGTAGTGCGAGGAAACAAGACAGAAAAGGGGTGGAAGGAGATATACGGTAGGACTATTTCACAGCTTAGCAACCGAGGTCAATAGATGCAAGTGTGGGCTGGCTGTGTTCTTTATGAATTATTGAAGAATTAACACAAAGCCAAAAGACATCTCTGTGCAATAGACAAGTAAGAGCTCTATCCACATAAAAGGCTAAGTACTAAAGTTCCTCAGTGTTAACCAAACCTGGAATAGATTCATTTTTTTTTTTTTTTGTTAAGCTGCATTTAAGCTACATCGGGCACCATATGTTCAAACAAAACATGGCAGGAGCTCTTGCAAGAACATGGCAAAGAGCAAGACATATGTCAGATAATCAACAGAGTTGTTACACTTGTGCTTGCCACTAAACTATAGAAATCTCTGGGTATTCAATTATGACCTGATAAAATTGCAATTACAATGCAAGCAGTGTGCCTATAAGCCTACAAAGAAAACCAGGAAAAGGGCTACAGTTTACTTGCAAACCAGAAAGAGAAAGAAGGGGAATGCCACAAGTCTGAGTAATGTGTACAGTATTCCTGTTTCATAGGTAGGTTAGGTTAGGCAAGGTTCGTCAGAAAATAGGACAAGCGTTTCCCGAGACGGGTCTTAGTCAGATGATGACCCGCCTTTGGAGCTTTTGGTCATCTGACCGAGGCCTTCCATTGGCTTACAAGTCCACCCTTTTAAAAATTATGGTTATTTATAACCAGTTAGTGTTTCACAGGTAATGTGATAGAAATGTGTTATAGGATTAAATGGACAATATAGAAATCTAAATTGACCATAGTATGGGAGGTAAACCAAAGTCCTGGGGTAAATTTATATATATATTTTTTTAAAACTAGTAAGAATTTCAACTTTTCTTTTTTTTACATTTAACACAAATAGTAAAATCATTGGATTAGCTACTTTTGCAGTCCAGCTTCAATATATTGTATTTAAAATTTTACTCCAGTATGCCTTCATCTTCTATGTATTCATATGGATACACTAACAGAACCTATAGTAGCTACTATATAAACAATGGTTCATATTATTAAGCTTTCTATATAATCTAGTCAATGCAAGATATGATCAATGCTTCAAATTGCACTTTTTTTATATACAATTACTATAATTGTAATAACTCCAAGTTAGGTCCCTTTATGCCAGCGTGGGACATTTACTCCAAGGGATTAGACATATTTTTCCTTTTCTGTGAATTAGGTCTGTCTGCCAGTCCTCTCAGCACCAAATGACCCCTATGGGTCTAGCACTCCCATGAATGTAATCATTTTGGGAGTGTTGAAACCATGAGTCTTACAGTGCCTATGGTATGGGAGGTAATTAGGTTTAATCTAGGGAAGGGGAGTATGGTTCCAATACCTGTATGCCTAAATAAATTGCACTGTAAAATGATATTCATATTCACAAATACCAAAGATCACCTGTAATCTGGTTCAGACATTCAGAGAAACTGCCCCCCCCCCCCCCAAAAAAAATGGTTGTTGAAATACTGTTGAAGACAGGTTCCTAATAAAAAAAGGCCATCCTAAATCATAATATAGTCATGCTTAAGACTGAAATATCCTTCTTAAAGCCCATATGAACAAGGGCAACAAACTACAGGTACTGAATAGGATAAATATGAAATGGTGTAAGAGTGTTTAAGCTTTAAACTTGCAGGAATCACAAAGTTGCTTTGTTACATACCTAAGCATTGAAGTCCATTATTAAAAGGGCAACAAACCAAGTTCATTACTGAATTTCACTGCTTATGCACCAAATCTATGACTAAGGTTTCTTTCTATGTATCGCCAGTACTCTTGGCGAATTTTGTCATGTTCCATGGCCAAAGATTCACATATCTGCAAATTATGACAACTATTAATCATTTCATATAATCACTGAATAAGGAAACTCAGTGTATAATAAAATTAATTATTTTATGTTTTTTTTATTATCACACTGGCCGATTCCCACCAAGGCAGGGTGGCCCGAAAAAGAAAAACTTTCACCATCATTCACTCCATCACTGTCTTGCCAGAAGGGTGCTTTACACTCCAGTTTTTAAATTAATTATATAATCCTTTAATACAAAAAATGCTTATTTTCTTATCTAATACTGACTCCTGTATTTTTCTGTGTACTGTTCATTTCATCTTAAACCTGTATTCCATAATATATTAAGTTTCTTCTCCATGGGAAGTGGAAAAAAGAATTCTTCCTCAGTAAGCCATGCATGTTGTAGGAGGTGACTAAAATGCTGGGAGCAAGGGGCTAGTAACCCTTTCCCTGCATAAATTAATAAATAAAAGGAAAAACTTTTGGTTTTCTTTCTAGGCCACCCTGCCTCGGTGGAACACGGCCAGTGTGTTAAAAAAAAAAATTAGTACCTATAGTCAAAGTTCCTAGCATTCAAGGTTTAAAAAATCAGAAAAACGCTTACCTCCTGAGTTTGCTTCAGTAAAAGTGGTCTTTCTGAAGCCTCTCGTTCCATCCTGTCTTCCAAGAGATCTATCATGAAGGTAAGAAGATGAGGTGATCGTTGCCCACCTTCATACATTTGCTGACACCATTGCTCCAGGTTACCAATGCTATTCATCCCATTATCACAGTGTTGGACAACTCTAAACAATAAAAACACACATCAATAGCAATACAATACAGGCTCTCCTCACTTAACGATGGTGTTCCGTTCCTAAGACCACATCGTTAAACGAATTCATTGCTAAGTGAGGAGGTTACTATAATAGCAGTGGGTTTGTGTCGACCATCTTTGATATTGGTTTAATGTCACCTTTGCACCATTTATAACATTTCTGGTATATTTTGAAATGTTTATACAATAGTGTATTGTATATTGCAATGAACAGAATGGAGGAAATCAGCTCTAATATACATTATTTAGGTATAAATACTGGTTAGAGCGCCCATCGTAAGTCCGAGGTGTCAGTAAACGAGTACATCGCTAAGTGAGGAGAGGCTATGTTGTAGTTTGATATATTACATATGTTTACATTGATATGTTTACATTGAAGCATATATGTGAACAGTATTTAGATAAAGGTAGGGAAGTTTTTATTGCATTTATGGATTTAGAAAAGGCATATGATAGAGTGGATAGAGGAGCAATGTGGCAGATGTTGCAAGTATATGGAATAGGTGGTAAGTTACTAAATGCTGTAAAGAGTTTTTATGAGGATAGTGAGGCTCAGGTTAGGGTGTGTAGAAGAGAGGGAGACTACTTCCCGGTAAAAGTAGGTCTTAGACAGGGATGTGTAATGTCACCATGGTTGTTTAATATATTTATAGATGGGGTTATAAAGGAAGTAAATGCTAGGGTGTTCGGGAGAGGGGTGGGATTAAATTTTGGGGAATCAAATTCAAAATGGGAATTGACACAGTTACTTTTTGCTGATGATACTGTGCTTATGGGAGATTCTAAAGAAAAATTGCAAAGGTTAGTGGATGAGTTTGGGAATGTGTGTAAAGGTAGAAAGTTGAAAGTGAACATAGAAAAGAGTAAGGTGATGAGGGTATCAAATGATTTAGTTAAAGAAAAATTGGATATCAAATTGGGGAGGAGGAGTATGGAAGAAGTTTTCAGATACTTGGGAGTTGACGTGTCGGCGGATGGATTTATGAAGGATGAGGTTAATCATAGAATTGATGAGGGAAAAAAGATGAGTGGTGCGTTGAGGTATATGTGGAGTCAAAAAACGTTATCTATGGAGGCAAAGAAGGGAATGTATGAAAGTATAGTAGTACCAACACTCTTATATGGGTGTGAAGCTTGGGTGGTAAATGCAGCAGCGAGGAGACAGTTGGAGGCAGTGGAGATGTCCTGTTTAAGGGCAATGTGTGGTGTAAATATTATGCAGAAAATTTGGAGTGTGGAAATTAGGAAAAGGTGTGGAGTTAATAAAAGTATTAGTCAGAGGGCAGAAGAGGGGTTGTTGAGGTGGTTTGGTCATTTAGAGAGAATGGATCAAAGAATGATATGGAAAGCATATAAATCTATAGGGGAAGGAAGGCGGGGTAGGGGTCGTCCTCGAAAGGGTTGGAGAGAGCGGGTAAAGGGGGTTTTGTGGGCAAGGGGCTTGGACTTCCAGCAAGCGTGCGTAAGCGTGTTAGATAGGAGTGAATGGAGACGAATGGTACTTGGGACCTGACGATCTGTTGGAGTGTGAGCAGGGTAATATTTAGTGAAGGGATTCAGGGAAACCGGTTATTTTCATATAGTCGGACTCGAGTCCTGGAAATGGGAAGTACAATGCCTGCACTTTAAAGGAGGGGTTCGGGATATTGGCAGTTTGGAGGGATATGTTGTGTATCTTTATATGTGTATGCTTCTAAACTGTTGTATTCTGAGCACCTCTGCAAAAACAGTGATAATGTGTGAGTGTGGTGAAAGTGTTGAATGATGATGAAAGTATTTTCTTTTTGGGGATTTTTTTCTTTTTTGGGTCACCCTGCCTCGGTGGGAGACGGCCGACTTGTTGGAAAAAAACAAAAAAAAAACAAATATTACATGGGTGTCTTTCAAATTTACTTTTGTTTCTTTTTTCCTCACTTCAATTAAATCTCTCTTTTAAATACTTTATGTATATTTGATTATATATACAGCCTCTCTTCACTTAACGACAGAGTTCTGTTCCTAAGATCACGTTGGTAAACGAATTCATCGCTAAGTGAGGAGCATACTATAATAGTAGTGGGTTTGTCAACCATCTTTGATAATGTTTAAATGTTGCCTTTGCACCATTTATAACATTTCTGGTATATTTTTCAAGGTTTATACAGCAGTGTACCATATATTGTAATAAACAGAATAGAGGAAATCACCTCTAATATACATTATTTAGGTATGCATACTGATCAGAGAGCCCATCATAAGTCCGAGTCATCGGTAAACAAGTACGTCACTAAGTGAGGAGAGGCTGTATTTATATTTATTACTGACTATCAAATGTAAATGCCTTAAATTATTATCATATTCACAAGAAGTGCTACACACACACACACATACGAGTTGTTCATGATTAAATTAATGCATAAAATAAGTCTTCTTTCATTCCCTTCAAGGGTTATGCCATGATGCTGTTGAAGATATCTTGATTCAAGAAGCTGGAGCTACCCTGCCCTTCCTTGGAACACACTTCAGTACTTCTTATTTCCAAGTACTGCATGACTCCTATTGTTTAGCACTTTCCCATGAATATATTTTTTTAATTATCATTCTTAAACTTGAGTTTTCAGCTCATGCATAAAACCAGTTAAGCGGAAAAGAATCCAATTATTATTATACTTATCGGAAATGCAAAATACATAGGGGTCACCAAGATTCTGGGAAATGGGGGACAATCAGATGCAAGAAAGGAGAGAGAAACCCAATTCCTTGGCTCAAAAGTCCCTCACCAGCATCAAGGAACTTCCCTTGAGGATGAAAGAATCTGAATATGCTTTTGGCTTTTGGATGTTACTAAAAAGTTTGTAACACTCTATACCTACCCTCTGAGATAACTCCATGGGCTTTCATTACCCACAACTTTACTAATGGCCTTTTTGGTGTATTCCACTTCTCGCTCTATCACATCTGGTGTGAAGCCTGTGGTTTGTGTAATAGCAAAGTGCCGCTGGTTCCAAGCAGAGTTATTCCTCACGTCTTCTTCAAGGAGTCTATCAACATAATTAAGCTCTCCATCATATAGTCTGTGAATAAGAAAGCAAATTAATATCTATATTTACAGAAAGAGTAAAAACACACATTTGCAGATGATGCAAAAATACCTACTATAAGATATGGACAAGTTGAGAAAATGGAGTCATAAATGGATGATGGAACTTAATTTAGACATGCCCTGTACTTTAAATGGGGGAAAGTAATAACAGACCACATGAAGAATATAAATTATGTTAAAATATTAAAAATATTGTAGGCAGAGGGCAATCTGGAAGCCATCACTGACAACATGCTCATACATGCCTGTTGGATGTCCAAGCCCCTGGCATATAAAACCTTTACCTCTCCCTCCAGGCTTTCCTAGGACAACCCCTAACCCTCCTAACCTCCACTTTAGATTTATACACACTTTCTTTCAACAAACTGGCCATATCTCACTGAGGCAGGGTGGCTCAAAAGGAAAAACAAAAGTGTCTCCTTTTAAATTTAGTAACATATACAGGAGAGCATGCATAGTTCCTTTGTATAAAGGCAAAGGGGATAAAAGAGAGTGCAAAAATTATAGGGGGAGAAGTCTGTTGAGTGTACCTGGTAAAGTGTATGGTAGAGTTATAATTGAAAGAATTAAGAGTAAGACGGAGAATAGGATAGCAGATGAACAAGGAGGCTTTAGGAAAGGTAGGGGGTGTGTGAACCAGGTGTTTACAGTGAAACATATAAGTGAACAGTATTTAGATAAGGCTAAAGAGGTCTTTGTGGCATTTATGGATTTGGAAAAGGCGTATGACAGGGTGGATAGGGGGGCAATGTGGCAGATGTTGCAAGTGTATGGTGTAGGAGGTAGGTTACTGAAAGCAGTGAAGAGTTTTTACGAGGATAGTGAGGCTCAAGTTAGAGTATGTAGGAAAGAGGGAAATTTTTTCCCAGTAAAAGTAGGCCTTAGACAAGGATGTGTGATGTCACCGTGGTTGTTTAATATATTTATAGATGGGGTTGTAAGAGAAGTAAATGCGAGGGTCTTGGCAAGAGGCGTGGAGTTAAAAGATAAAGAATCACACACAAAGTGGGAGTTGTCACAGCTGCTGTTTGCTGATGACACTGTGCTCTTGGGAGATTCTGAAGAGAAGCTGCAGAGATTGGTGGATGAATTTGGTAGGGTGTGCAAAAGAAGAAAATTAAAGGTGAATACAGGAAAGAGTAAGGTTATGAGGATAACAAAAAGATTAGGTGATGAAAGATTGGATATCAGATTGGAGGGAGAGAGTATGGAGGAGGTGAATGTATTCAGATATTTGGGAGTGGACGTGTCAGCGGATGGGTCTATGAAAGATGAGGTGAATCATAGAATTGATGAGGGAAAAAGAGTGAGTGGTGCACTTAGGAGTCTGTGGAGACAAAGAACTTTGTCCTTGGAGGCAAAGAGGGGAATGTATGAGAGTATAGTTTTACCAACGCTCTTATATGGGTGTGAAGCGTGGGTGATGAATGTTGCAGCGAGGAGAAGGCTGGAGGCAGTGGAGATGTCATGTCTGAGGGCAATGTGTGGTGTGAATATAATGCAGAGAATTCGTAGTTTGGAAGTTAGGAGGAGGTGCGGGATTACCAAAACTGTTGTCCAGAGGGCTGAGGAAGGGTTGTTGAGGTGGTTCGGACATGTAGAGAGAATGGAGCGAAACAGAATGACTTCAAGAGTGTATCAGTCTGTAGTGGAAGGAAGGCGGGGTAGGGGTCGGCCTAGGAAGGGTTGGAGGGAGGGGGTAAAGGAGGTTTTGTGTGCGAGGGGCTTGGACTTCCAGCAGGCATGCGTGAGCGTGTTTGATAGGAGTGAATGGAGACAAATGGTTTTTAATACTTGACGTGCTGTTGGAGTGTGAGCAAAGTAACATTTATGAAGGGATTCAGGGAAACCGGCAGGCCGGACTTGAGTCCTGGAGATGGGAAGTACAGTGCCTGCACTCTGAAGGAGGGGTGTTAATGTTGCAGTTTAAAAACTGTAGTGTAAAGCACCCTTCTGGCAAGACAGTGATGGAGCGAATGATGGTGAAAGTTTTTCTTTTTCGGGCCACCCTGCCTTGGTGGGAATCGGCCAGTGTGATAATAAAAAAAAATAATAATAAAAAATACAGGAGAAGGGGTTACTAGCCCCTTATCATTTATATTTCTAATTAATAATAACTGTATGAGTAGAACTAGTAAAATATTGAAATAATTAGTAATATTCAAGGTAGTAGGTTGGTAGACAGCAACCGGTCAGGGAGGTAATACCATCCTGCCAAGCGAGTGTAAAACGAAAGCCTGTAATTGTTTTACATGACGGTTGGATTGCTGGTGCCCTTTTTTTTCTGTCTCATAAACATGCAAGATTTCAGGTACGTCTTGCCACTTCTACTTACACTTAGGTCACACGACACATGCATGTACAAGCATATATATACACACACCCCTCTGGTTTTCTGCTATTTTCTTTCTAGTTCTTGTTCATTTCCTCTTATCTTCATGGGGAAGTAGAACAGAATTCTTCCTCCGTAAGCCATGTGTGTTGTAAGAGGCGACTAAAATGTCAGGAGCAAGGGGCTAGTAACCCCTTCTCCTGTATCAATTACTAAATTTGAAAAGAGAAACTTTTGTTTTTCTTTTTGGGCCACCCCGCCTCGGTGGGATACGGCTGGTGTGTTGAAAGAAAGAATTAGTAATATTAATATCCTAATAAATGCTCGTGATTATTTTGGAGGAAGATAATTTAAAATACATATAGTGTTAATGACTTAATAGGGATGCCATGACCCATACACCCAGTCTTGATTTAAGAATGAAAACAAAGGCTAATGTGGCAACTCTAAGTGATCTCAAATGTAAACAACCTGAGGAAAAGTGCATTTTGGATATGGCCTCCATGGAGCTCAACCAGGGCTTCCTGCCTGGAGCCCAACCAGGAAGCCTTGGTTGGGCTCTGACTAGTGCCAATGCAGCTACTGGATATTATCAAGTTTATCTTTATATTTCAGGCACAAATATGGTTTCAAATATACATTCATCCTTGACACAAAAAAAAAAAAAAAATAGGATCTACTTCATTGCCCTCAATTTTGTAAAGATTTCAACCTTTAAAAAGTTTATGCATAAATAGGTCAACTCCCTCACATTCTGTTTAAAAATTTGGTCTTAAAACTTTGCTCTACATTCAAGTATAAATGGCAATACTGATGTTCACATACTTAAAAGTTCTGAGAACCCACTGTCGATGTTCCCAAGCATGGTAATTCTTGGCATCTTGATTAAAGATCATCTCTGTCAGTCTCAGTTCTTTGCTAGCATCACCAAGCCACTCTACAACAACACGCCGATGATGCCTAGCAGAATGGTAAAAAATACTAGTTACAAATGTAATTAATAAGAGCATTCCTTTTGATAATTTCAAATATATAGTGTACCACAAATATATACAGTACTATAGTCACTGAAGTATAGCATTTAAAAAGTACAGTATGCAACTTTTTCCTTACCACACTTGATAATTCTTGGGATTCATTTCAATCATCTCACGACAAAATGTCAATTCTGCCTCTAGATCACTACCTAAATGTTTGAGAACCTTCCTCCTGTAGGAATGTATTACATATTCACGTGACAGAATCTTATTTAAGCATATTCATTTTTATCACATTTAAATCAATAACAAAAATAAATACAGTGGACCCCCGCATAACGATTACCTCCGAATGCGACCAATTATGTAAGTGTATTTATGTAAGTGCGTTTGTACGTGTATGTTTGGGGGTCTGAAATGGACTAATCTACTTCACAATATTCCTTATGGGAATAAATTCGGTCAGTACTGGCACCTGAACATACTTATGGAGTGAAAAAATATCGTTAACCGGGGGTCCACTGTACTGAACAACAGTAATCAGAACAGCTGTCAATACACTAGACCAGGGGTCCCCAGCCTGCAGCCCAATGACTGCATGTAGCCCTTCTAGGAAATGGATGTGGATCTTATGTGACTATGTAGTACGCCTTGAGCTGGTTTATAAAGCTGCTGATATTAAAAACATTATTTCATAATAGCCCCCCCCCCCCAGCACGAAAAATGGTCGCACTTTTCGCATGTGTCGCAGGTTTTCATAGGCAAGTCACTATTTATTCTCTGGAGATGTCTATGCTTAACAGACATAGCATTTTTTGTAACATCCTACCCTAATCTCACCTTTCCAGAGTGTACATTTAGTTTCTACGGCCTATTTTCATAGAAAATGGTTCTTATACGTATAAGGAATTAACATTGTCATCTTTCTCTTTATGATTTCCAGTGTATTTATTTTTTTATTTTTTATTATCACACTGGCCGATTCCCACCAAGGCAGGGTGGCCCGAAAAAGAAAAACTTTCACCATCATTCACTCCATCACTGTCTTGCCAGAAGGGTGCTTTACACTACAGTTTTTAAACTGCAACATTAACACCCCTCCTTCATTGTCATCTTTCTCTTTATGATTTCCAGTGTACAGTGGACCCCCGGTTAACGAACTTTTTTCATTCCAGTAGTATGTTCAGGTGCCAGTACTGACCGAATTTTTTCCCATAAGGAATATTGTGAAGTAGATTAGTCCATTTCAGACCCCCAAACATACACGTACAAACGCACTTACATAAATACACTTACATAATTGGTCGCATTTGGAGGTGATCGTTAAGCAGGGGTCCACTGTATTTATATCTCTTCTATACAGCCTCTCCTCACTTAACGATGGAGTTCCGCTCCTAAGACACACTGGTAAACGAATTCATTGCTAAGTGAGGAGCATTTTTTAGCTTAAGACTATTTACTTTGTTTTATACTTAATTCTAACTATAGATTCACTACAAATCTTATGATTACAAGCATTGATCCTGATACCAACCTCTTATTTAATGACTTAAATGAATCAAACAGTTACTGTAATTACTACACTGCAGAACAATCAAAGGCACTTCTCAGTGCCAACAACAACATAACTATCTTTAACTATAATATCAGATCTTTAAGCAAGCATTACGATGACCTCATAGCATTACTAAATTCCTTACATGCCAATATGTCCATCATTACACTAACTGAAACCTGGCTAAAGCCTGATAGTACAGATGTCTATGCCATTCCTGGTTACACAGCCATACACAACTGTAGGCCAGACCAACAAGGGGGTGGCACAGCCATATACTACTCAGACCAACTAGAATGTATCACTAATACTTGCACAAGGGATGAACATGGGGAATATATAATAGCAAATTCAAATCCAAATACCTACAAAAACCTCTCACACTGATAAACATCTACAGAGTTCCACAGTCAAAACATTAGCCAATTTAGTCAAAACCTAGGAAGTATGATAACTGATGCACGCATGAACAAAGATCACTTACTACTCTCAGGTGACTTCAATATAAATCTCCTGCAAGACCAGGACCCACACGTTACTGAATTCACAAACACAATGAGTAACTATGTTGCTACCAACAGTAACAAAACCTACAAGAGTTACAGAGACTAGTGTTTCCCTACTTGACCACATCTGGACCAACACCATATCCCCTTTAAAATCAGGCATAATTACAGATAATACCACAGACCACTACCCTACTTTCCTCATAACAACTCTTGGTAAATTACCCCAAGACACTACTAAAGTCACCTTCAGACTTCACAATGAGGCAGCCATTAATAACTTCACAACAGCAGTAGCAAACAATTGACTGGCACACTGAGCTAGAAATCTACACAGATATTGACGAATGTATTAATAATTTTCTAAAAAAGACCCATTACCTCTATAACAAGCACTGCCCTAAAAAAACTAAACAGATGACAGCTAAGAGACTGAACAGTCCCTGGCTAACACCCAGCATTCTCAAATCCATAAATACAAAACACCAATATGAAAAACAGTACAGAATGGGTCACATAACCAGAGACCAAACAAAACGTTACTCGTCAATCCTAACCAGCCTGATAAGAAGGGCAAAAAATTGTATTATGAGAACAGATTATCCAACTTACGAGGTGATATAAAAAAGACCTGGAAAACCCTATCAGAAATTCTAGGAACAAAAAAGATATCACGAAATAGCGAAATAAAATTAGCAAAATCTGATGAACCCCAACTCCCACCAACAGAAACAGCAAACAGACTCAATGATTTCTTCTCCACTATAGGACAAAACCTTGCCAATAAAATCCCAAGCTCAGATACCCCACCAAATGACTACCTCACCGGCAACTACCCGAACACACTGTTCCTAGCTCCGACTAACCCATACGAAGTCTCCCTTATTATCAACACACTAAAAAACAAGGCAGGAGATTTAAATACCTTACCACCCTTTATATACAAAAAAGTGTCACAAGTGCTATCACCAATCATTGCAACACTCTTTAACAAATCCATTGAATCCTCCACCTTCCCTACAGTACTCAAAATAGCAAGGGTCACCCCGATCCACAAAGGAGGAGACCAAACAGAGTTGAATAACTATAGGCCAATATCCAACTTACACCCTCTCTCAAAAATCTTCGAAAAATTAATTCATAAACGAATCTACTCCTACCTTATCTCCCAAAACATACTCAACCCCTGCCAATTTGGATTCAGGCCTAATAAAAATACTAATGATGCTATTATACACATGCTAGAACATATATACACTGCAATAGAGAAAAAAGAAGTCCCACTGGGGATCTTCATTGACTTACGTAAAGCTTTTGATACAGTTGACCATGACTTGCTCCACGTAAAATTGTCACACTATGGTATAAGAGGGCACTCCCTCAACTACCTCAAGTCATACCTCAGCAACAGAAGCCAATATGTGTATGTAAATGGGGCAAACTCTTCTGCACAACCAATTACAGTTGGTGTCCCACAGGGAAGTGTCCTTGGCCCTCTTCCCTTTCTCCTATACATAAATGACCTACCAAATGCTTCGCAATTACTCAAACCCACACTATTTGCAGATGACACTACATACGTCTCTCACCCGAGCCCAGTCACGCTAGCCAATACTGTAAATACCGAATTACAGAAAATATCTACCTGGATGAGGACTAACAAACTTACACTAAACATTGACAAAACCTACTTCATTCAGTTTGGTAACAGAGCTACAGATGTCCCTCTTAACATAATGATAAACGGATCACCTATCACAAAGCTAACAAGAGGGAAAATTCTTAGGAATCCACCTTGATAATAGACTCAAATTTCATACACATATACAACAAATTTCTAAGAAAATTTCCAAGACTGTAGGCATACTATCGAAGATACGGTACTATGCTCCACAGTCAGCTCTCCTGGCCCTATATCACTCTCTTATTTACCCCTATCTCACCTATGGAATTTGTGCATGGGGCTCAACAACAAGTAACCATCTCAGACCACTAATTACCCAACAAAAGGCTGCAGTTAGAATGATAACAAATTCTCACTATAGGCAGCACACTCCACCAATATTCAATACACTAAACCTACTCACCATACAAACATCCATACTTATTACTGCACCTATTACATACATAGAACACTTAACTCTGATATTAACCCTCCCCTCAAACATCTCCTTGCCAACCTCAACAGAACACATGACCATAACACAAGGCACAGATCACTCTTTGATGTTCCTCGTGTCCATCTCACACTATGCAAAAACTCAATGCACATAAAAGGCCCTAAAATCTGGAATTCATTACTGTAAATATAAAAGAAACACTACCTGTTTATAAATTCAAATCTCTTCTCAAAGATCACTTACTCACCCAAAACCAAATAAATACTGAATAACTGAACCTTATAAATTGTATATCTTAAATGTTTCTCACAATTATATCACATAAATGTTAAACCTAAAACCCAATCTAACTTTATTATTTTTTAAATACACTACCTAACAGAATACTCCATTCTACTGAATGTACAACAATGCATACAACCATATGACCTGTCTTTGTAATACTCACTTGTGCTTTATAGTAATCTGTTTACATTAATGTTTTATCGCTGATTTCATCATTGCTTAGTTAATCTTAAGTTAATTTTAAGCCAGCCCGTAATGCTATGCATAGTATAAGTGGCTTTGGCATGCTGCTCTTATCTGTATTTTTTGTACCTCTGTAAGTGTGCTCAAATTTTTAAATAAATAAATAAATACTATAATGGTAGTGGGTTTGTGTCAACCATCAATGATATTGTTTTAATGTCCCCTTTGCACCATTTATAACATTTCTGGTATATTTTTAAATGTTTATACAGTAGTGTACTGTATGTTGAAATAAAAAGAATAGAGGAAATCAGCTCTAATATACATTATTTACGTATGCATACTGGTCAGAGAGCCCGTTGTAAGTCTGAGGCATCGGTAAACAAGTACATCGCTAAGTGAGGAGAGGCTGTAATATGATCAGAATTTACTTACAATCTTAAACATTACAAATTAAATATGATGTTAAAGTAGAACTTTGGGACTTTTACTATTTATTATTCTTGATACTATGCGGTCAAGTGTGAGTGTGCATGTACATCCAACCATGAGTTTACCAGTTTCCTCCCCCCACCTCAGGTGTGTGTGTTTGTATACCATAGCTCGTTCAACCTGAGTCTGCCTATGCACATACTATATTAGTTCTATTGCAAACATTCATGCACTGCTGTCTTGGCTTTAGATTTTTGCTAACCAAGCTTTCGAGTCTTCTTTGCATTCATCATAAGCTCTTATGTCCTTTAGTTAACAAGTGTTGTGGTTATTTTCTTTTTCCACAATTAGAAACTTACTTTCATCCCCATTAAGCTGCATCTGCCACCTCCAAATATCAATTTATCAAAAATCATCCTGCAGATCCTTGAGGTACTCTTCAGAAATTATTTCATGGCCTATTTTTGTCATTGGCAGGTTTTTCTAGGCAGGTCACTATTTATTCCCTCATGTATATCATTATGTATCCCCCAGAGTAAGAACCAATAAATGGGTAACAATCGTTTTTTATTCCTCCAAGGTTTTCATATACAACTCGAGAATGCCTCATTTGAGTGGCTTCAAATTTCCAAGGCTGGTGAACTGTATTAGCATGTGCAGGTTAATTTTAATGACCAAAAGAGATTGTGATTTCAGTGATAACCTGAAAAATTTCCCCAACTAGCTTCAGGCTTTCAACACTCGTGTATTCTACTTAGAAGGTTTGTACTGGAGTGTGTAGTTGCCATTTTGCCATGGCACACTCGCCTGCTTGTTTCAAGACAGTCTTGCCAAGGGTTTGAATCCTACATTTAATAACTACAAATGGAATTACAAATGGGCAGTTACACACAAAATCAACTGAACATTATCTATTTAGACCATAAACATAAAATTTGTATCTCACCTATATTGCCAGACAGTATAGTTTGCAGCATTCATATTCAAAGCATCTTCGGTAAGTTCTAGAGCTCTCTCGGAGAGCTCTCCACCAGCCATTACAGCTCGAAAATAGTCATACACATCTGTAACTGTTGATGAAGTAATTTAGCTCACTGCTTGTGGATTAGCCAGAAAATACAAAAATTTTATTTGAAAAATGTACATAATTGTTACAAAATTAGGTGACATTTATTTCAAAGGTTTTGAAAAGCCCCTGGTTCTGCAGAACATTTTGGGTAGACTAAAACTAGAAATACAAACTGCAGTACTTCATACTACACAGCTGTATAGCTGGTCAGATTAATTGTGCTAAGTTTAATGTAAATAAGTTGTATGAAAGTAAGATTTTTAAATGTTATGATAATTTTAAGTAACAAAACATGATATTAAAACAGCAATGTTAATAATAAGAGATAGTACAGTAATACAAAGTAGATCCCTGATGGAAATACGTTGCATAGACTAACTTTATTGACTTATCAAAGGTTGCATATACTATATATAATGTTGTACCAGTGCTGTATACGTAAAACAACTGTGTGACTTCAGAACCATTGTATAAATTTATACTCCAGCCTTCAGAAGTCTGTAGATTTCCTAAATAAAGCTGATCTTAATTAGCATAAAAATATGTACTGTAGGGCTGGATACTTACAGGTATCTGTATAAGCAATTTTAACCACTGCATTTGGACCATCATCTTGGGGTATTGGTGTTACATCTGCCCATTCTTCTCTGTCCTTATAGAAAACCCAGGCTTCTTCTTTTGTAGTGAATTCATCATCATTGGAGCCCATTGTCTCCTACCTAGAATGACAATACTGTATATGGCATTCAGAGAAAGAACAATTCTTTTGAAAACTAACTCAGAAATGCTTTTGTTATATAATATATACTAATAAATTTTCTGACAATTTGCACGGAAGAATAATGTACAGTACATACTTTAAGACATATGGCAGGCTTGACTAATACATTTCACAATATACATCATACAGTACTTTCAAACATGGAAAATCCTATTAAGAATATGGTGCTATATAATTAAAGTATCAGTGATGTGCAGTACAAGATATTTTGACAGAAAATAAATGATAGGTTTTTCACATGTGAAAATTTAGGTAAAAAACTTTTATAAACAAATACTAACACTAATACCACCAGTAATAATAACTAAATCCTGGATTACCAGCTGTGAAACATGTATATGACATACATAGGGGGGGGGGAGAGCTATCCTTATATGTATATAGAAGTACTGTGCTTTATCAAACCATTGGAGAAATTGAATGATTTTTAATACAGTGGTACTTTGGGATACGAACAGCTCAAAACTCGAACAATTATGTAAGTGTATTTATGTAAGTGCTTTTGTAAGATTTTTGGGGGTCTGAAATGGATTAATCTAATCTATGTTATTCCTTATGGGAATAAATTCGTTCGGTATCGGCACTCGAACAGCCTTCTGGAACAAATTAAGTTCATATCCCGAGGTACCACTGTACAGTGGACCCCCGTATTCGATGGCATCGGTATTCGATAAATCCGGTATTTGATGCATTTTAACGCAAAAATTTTGCCTCGGTATCCAATTGAAAACCCGGTATTCGATACGATTCGTACGAGACGTGTCCACGTGTGGCCTGAACTGCCCCGTGTGTGCCAGCGTTTACAAGCCAGCCAGTGTGCGCGCATCTAAGGATACATTCGGTACATTCCATATTATCACTGTTTTTGGTACTTGTTTCTGCAAAATCAGTCACCATGGGCCCCAAGAAAGCTTCTAGTGCCAACCCTGTGGTAAAAAGGGTGAGAATTAGTATGGAAATTAAGAAAGATTTTGAAGGGTTTGGGGCTAACCCTGAGAAGCCTATGCCAGTTGTGGAATGCATTGTGCCTGCTTCAAAAATTAAGGAAATGTGTGCAAAGTGGGTTGAACTGCAAACCTTTATGGATGAAAATCACCCTAACACAGCTATTGCAAGCTGTGTTGGTGACTATTACAATGACAATGTTGTGGCCCATTTTAGACAAATCGTAAAGGAACGGGAGGTACAGAGCTCTACGGACAGATTTGTTGTGCGACAGAGGTCCAGTGACTCAAGCTGGTCCTAGCGGCATTAAAAGAAGAAGTCAAGTAACCCCGGAAAAGGACTTGCTACCTCAAGTCCTAATAGAAGGGGCTTCCCCTTCTAAACACTAACACCATCCACACTCTCCCCTCCTCCCATCCCATCAATCATCACCAGATCTTCATTAAAGGTAAGTGTCAATTATTCTATTGTTATTGTTGTTATTGTAATTATTCTATTGCATTAAACTTAATATTTCATGTGGTAAAATATTTTTTTTCATACTTTTGGGTGTCTTGCACGGATTAATTTGATTTCCATTATTTCTTATGGGGAAAATTGATTCGCTTTTCGATATTTTCGGTATTCGATGAGCTCTCAGGAACGGATTAATATCGAATACCGGGGGTCCACTGTATTAAAAATCATGCAATTTCTCCAATGGTTTGATAAAGCACAATACTTCTATATACATATAAGATAAAGATAGCTCCTCCATTCCCTAAAAAACATTATTCCACTGTACTGTACAAGTCTAACATTGGGTCTTGCATGCCTTCGTTCTGGGTTTACCTGGAGTTTACCGGGAGAGAGTTCTGGGGGTCAACGCCCCTGCCGCCTGGTCTGTGACCAGGCCTCATGGTGGATCAGAGCCTGATCAGCCAGGCTGTTGCTGCTGGCTGCACGCAATCTAATGTACGAGCCACAGCCCGGCTGGTCAGGTACCAACTTTAGGTGCTTGTCCAGTGCCTGCTTGAAGACAGCCAGGGGTCTATTGGTAATCCCCCTTATGTATGCTGGGAGGCAGCTGAACAGTCTTGGGCCCCTGACACTTATTGTGTTGTCTCTTAACGTGCTAGTGACACCCATGCTTTTCATTGGGGGGATGTTGCATCGTCTGCCGAGTCTTTTGCTTTCATAGGGAGTGATTTTTGTGTGCAAGTTCGGTACTAGTCCCTCTAGGATTTTCCAGGTGTATATAATCATGTCTCTCTCCCACCTGAGAGTATGTATTCAATTTTGGATAATTTTCAGAAAAATTCTTTCCAGTGAATGCCACTTGCCAATAAACAATTTTGGCACACCACCCAGGCATGAGTGCTACTGCTTTGCCAACCTTGTCTTAGATGGCAAGCATTGTGCCTACCTGTACAGGAACTTTAATTTGGCATTTGCCATTTTGTTTAATACAGTACACTGTTCACAGCTCACCAGACTGGCAAGAATCAAAGAATGTCAATATATATACATGTATATCATTGAGTTACTGAAGAGATACCTCATTACACATTTCAATAAATTTATTAACTCTAAATTTTTGGTTTTCTTTTTGATCCACTTATACTGGGCACTTGCTTGTATGTTAAGCATTACAAAATAAACGTGAAAGTTTGCTAACCAATTATGCAATCACTGGAAGACAAACCTCCAAGCATAAAACACACACATTCATCAGTACTGTATGTAGCTGTACCTGCTTCTGTTCTCCTATTATTGTTATTATTACAATCAGAACTAAGCACTAAACTTACGAATGTCATAAAGCAACTGTTGTCCTAGCATAGCATTATTGTAATTAAGGGGGAAGCGCTAAACCCGTAGGATTATACAGCGCCTGTGGGGAGGAAGTGGAAGGTATTCAGGCTTAATTCTGGGAATTGGAGCACAGATCCAATTCCCTAGATCAAGAGCCCCTCACCAGCATCAAGGAACCTCCCTTGAGGGGCCTAGGATAGCAGCTTTTTTCAATTTTTTTATTTTTGTAAAGTGTCAATACCATGTAGGTCATTCACTTACAATTACTGGCAAGACTTATCCTCCAACAGTCGATCACAAGATTAACTACTAAGTTTTACTGTTATTACTTAGTAGTGACTCAATACTGGAGATTTTCCTCACGAGATAATTTTCTACCAACAGCCTGGTTGAACAGGCCCTGATCCACCATGAGGCCTGTCATGGACTGAGCCATGGGGGCGTTGACCCCTGAAACCCCCTCCAAGCACACTCCAGGTATTGCGGTTACTTCACCATTAACGTTACTAATCTAATGCAAAACTGCATGGAAGAAGTGTAACAAAACTGATCACTGGCATCATTGAAATAACAGGCAAAACGCACCTTGATAAGTGACTTTTTTGGGTTATCCTAGGTTCTCTACACATATGCTGCTATGTATGATAATTCTATGTAACTGTATTTGTGTATACCTGAATAAACTTACTTACTTACTTACTTACCCGTGGCCTGGTAGGCAACGCTCTGACCTCACACGCCGAGTGTTCGTGGTTTGATCCCTAACAAGGGTGTAAACGATGGGTATTTCCTTACACCTGTTGTCCCTGTTCACCTAGCAGTAAGTAGGTACCTGGGTGTTAATGGACTGGTGTGGGTAGCATCCTGGGGGACAAGACTGAAGGACCCCAATGGAAATAAGACAGTCCTCGATGGCGCACTGACTTTCTTGGGTTACCCTGGGTGGCTAACCCTCCGGGGTTAAAAATCTGAACAAAATATTATCTTACACATTGGTTTAATACGTCCCCGGCACCTGGCAACACCTGACCTGCACACTACCTTGTTTAATACTACCTCTCACTCAGCCTGAGAGGTAGCAGCTTAATACACTATGAAGAGTGTTTCTCCTTACACAGTACTCCACTGATAAACTGTCTTTGCAACTCACAAATTAGCGTTAAAGGCAGGTTAATAACTCACAAACAGTGTTGTCTGACACTTGTCTTGTTATTGCTCCTCACAGTGGCTACGGAGGTATACAAATTTCTTGTATACATTTTCATATTAAAATGCTTCTAAAATCCCTAAACTAACTATCAAGCGAATATATTTTTAATATATAATATATATATATATATATATATATATATATATATATATATATATATATATATATATATATATATATATATATATATATACATATATATATACATATATATATATATATATATATATATATATATATATATATATATATATATAATATATATTAATATATATTATTATATATATATATATATATGTCGTGCCGAATAGGCAGAACTTGCGATCTTGGCTTAAATAGCAACGCTCATCTTGCTATATGAGGACAGTGAAAAATTTGGTATGTAATAATTTCGCCATAAATCATTCTGAACCTAACGAAAAAAATTTATAATTTCACTGTAATTGTTAAGTATTAAAATTATTGTAAACAAATCTAAATAGATTTAGTTGGGTTAGGCTTAAATATAAATTGTTCTTGTTAAATAAGGTTAGGTAAAGTTTTCTAAGTTCTTTTTGGTGCCAAAATTACAATTTTTCATCAATATTAATGAAAAAATATATCTTTAAAAGTATAGAGTAAAATTTTAGAAAGGACTTAAATTAGATAGAGTTCTGCTAATTGACCAGTTTTACATATTCGGCACGAAAACATATTATATATAATATATATTTATATATAATATATATATATTTAATATATATTATATATAATATATATATTATATAATTATATATAGTTAAGATATTTCTCATGAAAGCAGCTTTGTGTTGTTTGAAAGGCTACAAACAAAATTTTTATTTAGGAAGCTATTGTCTAGTAATATGGTTAATATAAACTTGTCTAAATAATTTAAAACGTAAAAAAAAAACGCAGGTAAATCTGAGTTGTTTCATAGTTTTAAATTAGTAAAGAACACCAATGTGATCTTAATTTAAGAAACATCCTGATTCATACAGGATGATTGTCCTGTCATTATGCATCATACAGATGATTGGCCTGTCGTACTTGCAATCATACAGGATGTTTGTCCTGTCATATCTGCATCATACAGGATGATTGATCCTGTCTTACTGCATTCATACAGGATGTTTGTCCTGTCATAATTGCATCATACAGGATGATTGTCTATCCATACTGCATCATACAGGATGATTGTACTGTCTACTTATCTTAAAGAATTAAATATTCAAATTCAAAATCAATGTTTATTCTCTTTAAGGATTACAATGTGATTGACAGAAATTTGGTCTATTGTGTGGTTTACATGTAGTTAAAATAATGATTACAGAGTGTACCACTAGATACAACCTTAGCATGGCTAGGCCCATTTCGGGCTACTTAGATTTTAGTTCTTAATTGTAAAATAATTACAATGTATGAGTAAGGTTTGGTATTATGGCTAAGTGACTAAAATATAGTTTGTGCAGTTTAGCAATGTTGAATGCTTTTGTTTTGGCACAGTACGTTTCAGTATTGGAGGTATCACAGGATTACATTATTTAAGATTGGAGGTTAATATTTCTGTTTATGGTCAAATGGAGTGAGTGATGTTGTAAGTGTGAACCACCAGGTGGTTTTCGTGCTAGGTTAGTTGATTGGGTGTTATCAGGGAGATAAGATGTTTTCTAATGGGTCGTTCTGAAAGTGATGCAATGTGTCTGAAGTTCTGAGTTCTCAGGTAGGGTTATTCCAGATTTTAGGGCCTTTGACATACATGAGATTTTTGTAAAGGCTTTTAGTCGGACCTCGGGGAGTGTCGGAGGATGTTTGTGTTGGTGTTATGCCTTGGGGTTCTGCACAACTAAACAAGAAAGCGTTTCTTAGGTCAAGGTTGTTTACTGGAGTTTAAGGTCCTGTTGATGTAGATTGCCAGTAGTAAGTGGGGATGTACTGAACGGGTTGTCCTGTCATACTTGCATCATTACAGAATGATTGTCCTGTCATACTGCATCATTACAGGCTGATTGTTCTGTTCCTTACTCATTTCATACAGCGATACGTTGGGTCCTGGCATACTGCATCATACATGATGGTTGTCCTGTTCATTACGCAATCATACAGGATGATTGTTCTGTGCATACTGCATTTACAGGGATTGATTGTCCTGTCTTACTGCATCATACAGGATGGTTGGCCTGTCATACTGCATCTTACAGGATGATTGTACTGGTCTACTGCATCATTACAGGATGATAGTCATGTCATACTGCATTCCTTACTGGATGTGACTGGCCTGTCATACTGCATCATCAAGATGATAGGTCTGCTCATGCTGAATCATACAGGATGATTGTCCTGTCATACTGGCATCATAGATAGGATGATTTGTTCTTGTGTCATACTGCATCGCTCTCTCATACAGGATGATTGTCCTGTCATACTGTTCATAGACAGGAAGATTGTCCTGTCTTACGGCATCATAAGGATAGAGATTGTCCTGTCATACGCATTTCCAGGATGATTGTCACTGTCATACTGATTCATACAGGATGATTGTCCTGTCATACTGCAATCATTTAAAGGATGGGTTGTCCTGTCATACTGCATCATACAGGATGATTGTCCTGTCACACTGCATCATACAGGATGGTTGTCCTGTCATACTGCATCATACAGGATGATTGTCCTGTCATACTGCATCATACAGGATGGTTGTCCTGTCATACTGCATCATACAGGATGGTTGTCCTGTCATACTGCATCATACAGGATGATTGTCCTGTCATACTGCATCATACAGGATGATTGTCCTGTCATACGCATCATACAGGATGGTTGTCCTGTCTATAACATCCATACAGGATGATTGTCATGTCATTCTGCATTCATACAGGATGATGGTCCTGTCTTACTGCTCTTACAGGATGATTGTCTGTTCTACTGCATCATACAGGATGATTTCCTGTCATACGGTTCATACAGGATGATTGTCTGTATACTGGCATCATACAGGTGATTCACCTGTCATACTGCATCATACAGGATGATTGTTCCTGTCATAACTGCATCATACCAGGCATGATTGTCAGGTCATACTGGATCTACAGATGATTGTCCTGTTCATACTGCATCATCAGGATGATTCTCCTGTCACAATACTGCATAATACGGATGGTTGTCTGTCATACTGCATCATACAGGATGGTTTGTCCTGTCATACTGATATACAAAGATGGTTGTCTGTCTAAGCATCATTAAAGGATGGTTGTCCTGCATACTGCATTTCTACAGGATGATTGTCGTCATACACCATCATACAGGATGATTGTCCGGTATTTACTGCATCATTACAGGATGTTTGTCCGGTACATTACTGCATCATACAGGATGATTTGCCTGTCATACTGCATCTTCAGGATGATGTCCTGGTCATACTTCACTCATACAGGTTGACTGTCCTGTCATACCTGCATATAACAGGATGATTGTCGTATTCATACTGGCATATACAGGAATGATTGTCCTGTCATTACTGCTCATACAGGATGATTGTCCTGTAATACTTCATCCATACAGGATGATTGTCCTCTCATTATGATCATTACAGGTTGATTGTCCTATCATACCTGCACATACAGGATGATTGTCCTGTCATACTGCATCATTACAGGTTGATTGTCTGTAATCTTCATCCATACAGGATGATTGTCTGTCATACTGCATTCACAGGATGATTGTCCTATCATACCTGCATTCAACAGGAATGATTGTCCTGTCATACTGCATCATACAGGATGGTTGTCTGTCTTACTGCATCATACAGGATGATGTCCTTGTCCACTGCATCATACAGGATGGTTGTCATGTCATTACTGCATCATACAGGATGATGTACTGTCATTACTCCATCATCAGGATGGTTGCCTGTCATACTCATCATACAGGATGTTCTGTCCTGTCATACTTGGCATCATACAGGATGATTGTCTTGTCATACTGCATCAATACAGGATGATGTCTGTCTTACTGCATCATTCAGGATGAGTTGTCCTGTCATACTACGTCATACTGGAATGATTGTCCTCTATCATACTGCATCATACAGATGGTTTGGATCCTGTCATACTGATCCATTACAGGTTGAAGGTCCTGTCATATGTCATCATACAGGTTGATTGTCCTGTCATACTGCATCATCAGGATGATTTTGTCCTGTCACTACTGCATCAGACAAGGGTGTTTGTTTGTCCCACTGATTCATTACGGGTAATGGTTGTCCTGTCATCAGCATCTTAAAGGAGGTTTCTTGTTCCTGTCATTACTGCATCATACAGGATGTTGTCCTGTCATTCTGCATCATATCAGGATGGAGTCCTGCCATACTGCATTTATACAGGATGATTGTCCTGTCATACTGCATCATACAGGATGATTGTCCTGTAATACTGCATCGTACAGGATGATTGTCCTGTCATACTGCATCATACAGGATGATTGATCCTGTCTTTACGCATCATACTCAGGATGGATTGTCCTGTCATACTCAATCTATACAGGGATTGTCCTGTCATACTGCATCATACAGGATAATTGTCCTATCATACTGCATCATACAGGATGATTGTCCTGTCATACTGCATCAAACAGGATGATTGTCCTGTCATACTGCATCATACAGAATGATTGTCCTGTCATACTGCATCATTACAGGATGAATTGTCTGTCATACTGCATATACAGGATAGTTGTCCTGTCATACTGCATCATACATGATGGTTGTCCTGTCATACT